ATTGCCCAAAATACCCTAAAAACTAGTTGTTTTTTAGTTGTTGGGAGGGGTATTTTGGTCATTGTAAAGTTATTTATCTTTACCCAAAAAACCCCCTAAACTAGTTGTTATATAGCTGGTGGGGGGATTTGTGTCATTTTTTCTCCCCCATAAGCAAAATACATAAATACCCCCCTATATTGTTAGGGGGTACTTATGTAAAAAAAACCCAAAAAAGCTGAAACTAGCCGTTGGGGTGGGGGTCCCCAATGGCTGGTTTTCGGACGGGCCGAGCGTAGCTCACTATGGGCCTTGCGGGCCGTGCTGCGGGCTGGACCGTGCCGGCTTGTGGATTACGAACCCTTGGCCCAGCATGGCACGGACCATCGTGCCGGGCCTGGCACAGCCCGCGGGCTGTATCGCTGCTGTCTTCTGAAAGTGTTTGTCAAAGTGGGTGAACTGAGTTGTCTGTACTTTCCTTCTACAAAAAGTATTTCGGTATTGGAAACCTTATTTGTATCCCTTTCCACTTTCTGTTCTCCCTCGATACTGGCAATATTAGAGGCTTCATCATTTGAATCAGTTTCATCTCCATATGAAAGTGCTATAGCTCTTGTCTTTGCCTTGGAATCCACTATGGAGACACTTGCACCTCTCTGGATGCCCTTGGGGATGATGATAGATGGTTTCTATTATCCCTAGTTGAGGCCTTTGACCCTCAACTTACATAATTTCAAGATGCATATTTTGTGAAACTTTATAAATTTTAAGTACTAAAATTAATTATTCTATTATTAATATTTTTATTTGTATAAATTTCTTGAGAGTAAAAATCTTTTTTAATATATAAATGTGGATTTGATAGGTTATTTATTCCATTAATGTTTATAAAATACTAATTTTGAATATTATTCTTTTTAATTTTCAGTTGGAATTGTTGAACGTGAACATTTGGTATTTGTTTGGATTGCATGTCGATATAAAAGTTAATAGAAGTTATTTTATTTCATTTATTATTACAAGTTGTAAGATGGCTTAGTGGCTTAAGGTTGTGTTTAAGAAAAGACGCCAAGCAACCATCAGATCTGGGTTCAAATCATGCAAACTACAATGTTTTAAGAGAAGGCACGTACCGGCTTTTATATCATATCAGTGCTCATCAGTGCATATTGGCCAATACAACGCCGTGTGACTCGATAGTCGATACAAAGGCGTGTGATGTATCATGTTGCATGACTCAGTGGATGCATTGTAAGCCATAGCGTATCCTGTATCGGTGTGGCCTGATATCAATACGATATGCCTCATATTGGGCATATTGAGTCGATATTTAAATCCTTGCCTCCACGTGCTACCCAACTTGCTGCCTCACATCGTCACTTCCACTTTTGACGCTACCCACACCTTACTCATCTGAGAGAAGATCAATGGTTTAGGAAATAGCTTCTGGCCTTGCTCCTGATGTCCTCAATCTTGCAGCATGCAAATCAAGGGCGTTAAAAGCTTCAAGAACACCTCCTATGGCTACTGCAACCCTGTTGAATATCTGTTCCTCCCATAGATTGAATGGCAGTTCCAGTTACTTTATTGTGAAGCTTCCTTCACTCGCCTTCTTCATGTTGCAAAATGTTTACCATCATTCTAATATTTCCAAACCTACTTGAGTTTCAACTGTAACAAACTCTACATTCTCCTCTACCTCATCAAGAATAGCTTTCCTAGAATCAAAAGGCATAAGAATAGCTATAATTTTGATTCTAAGTTTCTCTGTTACAGCATGTAGAATTTCTCTCCAGTTTGTCACATCTTCCTTGGTTGTTAACACCACTCTCTGCTCCCAATTCCCTTTTTCTTATTCAACACCATTGTCTGCATTGTGGATGAGCAGGCCAGTGAAATACTTGGTTGTTCCTCTTTTTTACTCTCTTCCTTCACCTCCTGTATGGGGGTTGGGTTTAACATAGTTCCTCTTTACATCCAAAAATTCTTTTTCATTTCTGTTCTCTCTCTGCTGTTTCAATCCATTCCCTTCAGACTTAAAGATGAATTCCTGTATTTTTTTCTGAGAACATTACCCACCTACTTCTCTGTATCCTCTGGTATATACACCATCTGCTTCTTGCTGTTTTTGAAATGCTCTATTAGTGATAGAAACTGACCTTTCACATTTCTTCTCATCTCTACCACATATCTTAACAGAATTTTCCGCACCATCCATGAATCCTTTAAGCCAATGTATTGAATCTCCAATCAAGTATACAGTGGCTCATTTTTCTTCTCTGATTTTCAGCATTACTTTGCGTTTTCCTTGAGCAACAGCTTCTTTGCTTCGATTGCCATTTTCCTTCATCTCATAGCAGGTTCGAAGTATCTCTCCACTCTCCATCTCCTCTCTCTCTCTCTCTCTCTCTCAAGTCACTAGATTTTCCTTCCAGATTCTTCAGGAAGTCATCCACACATAGGTAGCCCAACTTCACCCCTTTGTTCTAGAGTCTAACACTTGTTCTGATATTCTCCTTTGCCATTGGTTATACCCCTTTTTCTCTCTTTACCCTTGATAGAAAGTAGTATACCTAAGGTTCAAGATATTGCAACGTATCAGGATGTATTGGGCGTATCATGTCATCCACACATTTTTGTTATTTTCAAGGGTAGGGCTTGCTAAGACTGAGCCCCTATAAACTTTTGAAAAAATACTAAAAAAATATGGAGTGTGTGATCAAAACACCCAATACACATTTGTGTGCATCAGGGGTGTATTGATACTTTGAACCTTGAGTATACGACAGCAAGAGTACAAGACAGAAAACATATAGACTTGTCCCTGGGTCATCTTGTGTCTCAACGGCTCAAGCCAGTCATGCAGTTGTACACAAAGGCATGCCCTTTTTGATAGACCTGATTCAGGCTAGGTGCACTATGCAACAACCACCTTCACCATGTGGCTAGGCACATCCCCATGGCTCACCTTTTTAACACTGTTCTAATTTCTATATTACCTACTAAAATAAATCCCATAAATACCCTAGCTTTAAAAGCTAGAAATAGAAAATTCCATTGCAAACCTGTCAATTATTTGTAAATAGGCCATAATTCCCTCAATTGATTTCTAAATTATGGATTCTGAGTCTGTTGGATAGGTAATTGAATAACTGATACAATGAATACTAAAATCAAGCAAAATGGGTAAATTCTTAGCCTTCATATTTAGGTGATAAATTGATCAATGGACTGAGACAAATTTCTTTCTGGGTTTGGGTTGAGGGCCTGAGGCTCAAATTGCCCTCAGATTATGAATTAGGAGTTAGTATCAACCTCAAAGGGGATCATGAACCATGCATTATATTATACAATATGTTACATAATATGAAAAAGTATATCCTAGGAGAGAGAATCAGCTTCATATTCCATGGTTCTATTATTGCTAAGTATATTTTAGGTTACACCTTGACTAGGGCAGATCCAAAATACTCGGACACCATCTTGTTGCCATCACTGCAGTGGTAATTAAAGAACTTTAAATAAGTCTCCCATTTTCATACATGGCATTCTTTAAATGTAATTCATGAATGCAATGACATGATTAGAAAGGGTTGTTTGTGTGATATGTACACAATCAACTTTGCATTATTTGTTTGGTGATGAGATTTTTTAATTCTTTCTCATTCAAGATGGTCTGAGGAATCTTTTTTTTCCTTTGCAAGTTCTAGAACAAATCTTTTTTTAGTCTATACTGAAGTCAGTTTTAGGAATTTACTGTATTCAGTAAATTTCATGTTTGCTATCTGTAGTAATTCTTTCACTTGCTATTTATAATGGATCGGATTTTTTTTTGTAAAATTTGGATTTGAAATCAGATGTATTTAGGGGTCTTTTAATTTTACAATTGTGGGAAAGGTGTCAAATGTCTTGTCCTAGTTTTTACTTGAATAGGAGTATGTTCTTTCAATATTTTTTATAGTTAAAAAACATAGGCAAAATCTATGGTACATCCACTCAAAGGTTGTCTTTCTATTCTATTCTCTATGGCTCCTCTCTAATACAATCTCTTATTCCCCTACTCTCGTTCTATCCCTGCACATCTTATCACCCAAAAACTGAGATGGAAAGAAGTGACAAATAGGAAAATAGGACATTGAACTACAATCTGGTGAATTAGTATCTGATGCTTTCCCAAGTTGAATTTATCTACAGTGTTCTGGTTTTTCAAACTATGGTTCTGCTTTACAATTTGGTGACTAGAACTTTATTGAAGGACTGTGGTTGAGGAATTTGATAGAGTTTTCTTAATCATCAATAGGAAGTTGCTCACATTACTCAAGTGGCCAGAGTCTGAGCCACTTCAAGTGCTTTATTCTTTGTTTTTTATTATACTGTAATTGTTTTTTAAAACATATTTTATGGTTTATTCTACATTAAATGTGCGACCCCTAGAAGTGTGCATTTGGTATGTTGAGCATTGAATCCTAATACCCCCTAGATTTGTGCAAGCAATTTAGGATTGTATATTGAATCTTGAATCCTAATACCCTCTACATTTGTGCAAGAGAGATTCACATCAACTTAGATGCATTGTGTAGAGTCCAGATCTTGTACCCACAGGAACCCTACCCAGAGGACACCACAGCCACACATTGGGACCATCTCCCCATGAATGAATGACTAGTACGGGAGATGTTCCTGATATGCCTGATGTGTGGCTATAGTGTCTTGTGGATAGGAGATCCGAATGCCTGTGTATGGTGTTGGGCTCAAGCATGTTGTTGTCTAAGAGAGTCAATCTCTCCCCACCTTTTTAGCAAACTAGATTGAACAGCATAAATCAATTTGATGCTTAAGGACATGATGTCGCTGGCTCTTTGCGGTCTTGTTATTACTGTTCAAGACATGTATATAATGTGGGATTACTGATATTATTGCTCTGCTTTTTTCATTTCTAGTGGTCTGGTCACAAGTCATAAGATAGTCCGTTCTCTTCCATTTCTTGTGTTCAAATGGTTAAAATTGTCTTTGACTCGCAGATCCGCAAAGGTGGTGCCATTGCCCATTGGTGGGGATCCTGAATTTGAAAAGAGCAGTTGCTTGTTTGATACATGCTGTTGCGATATGTCTTGAGTGTTGGCAGTTTTATTGCAGAATTGTCTCTCGTATAGGCTATAGCAGCTAAATTATGACATGCCTGCATATGCACATGAGCTGGATAAGCACGCAATATTGGTCACATAATTCAATAAACGCCGTGCCGTCCTCCCTCCTCCCTATTGTATTGTATTGTATTGTAGTATGGGTTAATTGTATTCTCATGTACTGCCAGATTCCACGAGAACATCTATCGTACCTTGCTGTGACAGACAATCGGCAAGTTTACTATTGTAGTATCAACATGTGATTGCTTTTGCCATCTTGCTAAGAAATGCTACTGTTCTTCAAACCATTTCCTGTCAGTCACACTGACACATTGATTTTTGGCCTTCCTAATCTTCTAAGTTCTAAATAGAGAGCCTGACAGTGGGTTGTGATGCTTCTGCCTTGGAACACTTACAAAGTTATGGGGGGCCTTTAAGCCTTGTGCCCCAGCCCCAGCTTCGAGCTTTTCCTTAGTTATATCAACCAACTTACAAATTTGAATGCCCTACTTAACTTGAAAAACCCAATAGAAGGTTGGCACGGGGCTGATATAAACCTGAGGATTGAACACCTGACTAATCCAGAGCATCTGTCATGTTATCTCTTCATATTACAGAAATAGGTACAAGTAAAGAAAGCTCCTTGATCTAGACTTTGATAATTGCTGCTTTCTGTCATACACATCCATCGGTTGCCCAAACGACTATGGGTAGAGTTCGTCAATTGTAAAAAAAAAACCTAGGGTATTTTAAGTGATTTGCAAATAAAAAGGGTGTATAAAAAAAATCCATTTCGGGGTAATTTACATTCCCCTCCCCCCCTTTATATTTCTCAATTCTTAAAAATGTTGACATGGTCAAAATTGGGACCAGATATAGTAGGCACAACATAAAATGCATGTTCAATGAGCACTTGATAAATATTCTGACAATTGTCAAATGCTGTTTTTAATCTTTTCTGTCAAAAAATTTTTGAAGTGCTCATTGAACGTGTTTATAATGGTGTGCCTACCTGATCAGGACTGGTCAAATTGCTCTATTTACATGTGCCATTACATGTGTTCTAACAGCCATCTTAGGAATTTGCTTTGATTGGTATTTTGAGGTAGGTGTTAGAAAATTTATTAAGTTCTTAATCACTAGTGTGCTATCTTGAATTGTCATTATCCTCGTCTTATAGCTAACTTTGAAAAATATGTTTTCATTCCCTTGTATATATATTTTTAAATTTCTTAAATGAATCAAATGGTTGAACCAAACAGTAACCGTTCCCCAAATAACCCAACCCCCAAAATAATTTTCTATCTGGTCACTATTCGAAAATATTGATCATTACACAGTCAGGGCCCATTACTTTAAGAGACTAGATTTTCTAAAAGCAAAAAACCGTGCAAACACTTTGAAAACACAATATCTGACCATGCATGAGGAACATCTCTCCATGGATTTAACATATAAATATGAAAAGTATTCCTAATGCTGTATTATCAGAGAATTCACATGGCTTTTGCTTTCATGAGATCCAGTTCGGGCTCTTGTCTTAATGCTACCTTAGCATAAACAGGGCACCATTATTATTATTTTTTCGGGTAAATCCCTTAAAAGTTAAAACTTACCATGGGTTTTCCTGAAAGGTATTAAACCTCTCCTCAACTTTGACCAGCCCGTAAACCTCTCTTGACCTTTGGGGATAAAAGGGACTTGTACACCGGTTCAGTTACTTTATGGTTAGAAATATAATACCAATTTTGCCTTTATGGAAAATCATCAAATGTTTGATGATTTACCCCAAAACAGATTTGTTTATGTCGTAAAAAAATGAAATACTAAGGGGATGTTCTTTTTTTGGATTTTGAGAGGAGAGAAAATTGGTCAATGGGATTTTGGTTCCCATTGACCAAGAATCCTATGTTCTTTTTTTTAGCTTTATGTGGGGATCAGGGAAAGTTTATTTTCCTGGGCATCATCACTTACCTGGGTAAGTGATACTCATTTCCTAAGTGGGTAAATAACTTTCCCACCTAGGGGGAAATTGCCAACACTTGAATATGGAACAAAATTGTCCCTTTTAATAATGGATTTTTATGGTTAAAATGGTCATTACCTTATTTAAATGAGAAATTAAAGAACATGGATAAATGCATTTACCCAGGTAAATGTTTCACAGGAAAAACTTACCCATATAACTAACTGCATTTACCTGAGTAAGTAACTACCTGAAAAGCAAACAGGGCCTAAAACATATGTACTAGTATTAACAGTTGGAGAGTCAAGTTTGAATTAGGAAAACTCTACTAACTTGGTAGGATGAATTAGTGTGGGCATAATAACATTTAAACCATGCTGACTAGCTTGATACCAAAGAAAGTCACCAGCAAATTAGAACAATTAGAGAGAAACTTTTGGTGGAAGGGGGATAGAAAGAAAGAATATGGGCGCAACTTAGCTTGGCAAAAAAATTGTAACATGAACAATTTGGGAATTGGGAGGATTAGGCTTGGGGCGAAGGCTATTTTCTCTAACAAATTTGGAAGCTGTTAAATGGGAAAGATGAACCCTGGGTAAGAATGCTGTGTTTGGTTGTAGTGTAAATAAATTTGCACTGATGCAAAACTATGGTAGTGCAAATGATTTGGGTGGAAATTTTGGTTTATTTTTGTTTCAAAATTTACCTTATTTTATTTTATTGCCGTACAAATGAAGTAAAATAAGACCTGAAACAGAATGAAGAGAAACCCAGAACAAAATTAAACCAGAATTTGCATTATTTTCATTTGCACTCTCATGCATTTGTATTGATGCAAATAAGATTGCACTGCAACCAAATACAACCTAAGGCTCAATTTGGAAAGAGTACAAATGCAAATATGTACAATACAAATACTTAAAAAATCATACAAAATACAAGATTTTACACTACATATTTGTATTTGTACTCCTTCCAAATGGAGCCTAATAAACAAATATTTTAAAAATGCAAGTTTTTTTTCAGTTGCAAATCCAAAGCTTCGGATTCCTAGTGGTGGAAGAATGTTTTAATACTGAGAAAAGATCTCGCAGGCTCTCTGTGCTGGAAAATAGGTGCAGGAGATCATCATATTCTTGCATTGCATGATTCTTGGATACTGTTAGATAGTTTTGTATGCCCTTAGCTTCAATCAGAATGATATACATTATGAGTTTATTGTAAATGAATAAAAGTACATATTTGATTAATGTTCCCTTGGTATGTTTCTGTGTAATACCCTTAAACTGGACACTTAATGAGACTCGTG